TTTTCTGCTGGGCTACACACTGATGGAAACCGGGCACATCACCCGCTCGGCCGAACACGCCGAGATTCTGATCAAAGCCGATTCGAATGACCCGGTGGGCCATGGTCTCCAGGCTTTTGGGCTCACACAGCAGGCACGTATCACCGAGGCGATTGACGCATTTCGGCAGTGCATTCGCTGTCTGCCGACGAATGGCGTGGCCTGGTCGAACATGCTGTTTGCGTCGCTGTACAGCGATCAGCTGGATGCGAAGGCGGTGAAGGAGCTGCATCAGGAGGCTGGTGAGGCGATTGCAGCCGGTGTGGACGGGGAACCGGAGCCTGCGGAACCCGTTAAGAAACTGAAAAAGAAACGACCTCTGCGAATCGGCTATCTGTCCGGCGATATGAAACGGCATCCGGTTGGGTTCTTCATGCGATCACTGCTGACGAATCATGACAGTCGTCGGGTGCATGCGGTCTGCTATGACATCAGTCCGGCGCACGATGATCTGACGGAGATTCTGCGTGAGGCGGCTGACGAATGGTGTGATGCGCGAGAGCTGAACGACGAGGAGCTGCGGAATCAGATACGAACTGACGAAATCGACCTGCTGATTGACCTGGCCGGGCATTCGTCCGGCAATCGAGCTGGCGTGATTGCCCGTCGGGCCGCCCCTCGACAGGCCCTGTACCTCGGTTATCCGGGCACATCCGGACTGCCGAATATGGACTACCTGATCTCAGACCGCCACATCAGTCCACCGGAGTCGGACGCACTTTGCACGGAACAGGTGCTGCGTCTGCCGGACTGCTTTCTGTGCTTTCATCCTCACGAAGATGCTCCCCAGGTTGCACCGCCACCATGCGAAGAGAACGGGATCATCACGTTTGGTTCTTTCAACAATCTTCCGAAGCTGAGTCCGACGACAGTGCAGCTGTGGTCGCGGGTTCTGCAGGAGGTGGCGGAGTCGCGGCTGGTGATCAAGACTCTGTCGTTTCAGGATCCAGGCACGCGTGAGCTGTTTCATCAGCAGTTTGAAGAGCAGGGTGTGAGTCGGGATCGAGTGGATCTGCTGCCGCCCACGGTTCCTCTGGCAAAGTTCCTGGAAGAGTACGGTCGGATGGACATCGGCCTGGACACGGTGCCATACAACGGCGGGACCACCACGTGCGAAGCGCTGTGGATGGGCGTCCCGGTGATCACGCTGCCTGGGGAGCAGTTCTGCAGTCGCATGGGGATGAGCATTCTGAAGACGGTTGGACTGGACGAGCTGATTGCGGAATCTTCGGATCACTTCGTGCAGCTGGCGGTCGGGCTGGCAAAGGATACGGAGCGGCTGTCGTCCTGGCGGCAGGACATGCGCAGCCGACTGCTGGAATCACCTTTGTGTGATGCCGCCGCGTTTACTCAAGGCTTCGAAGCCTGTCTGCGGGACGCATGGAAGTCAGCCTGAGCCGGACGGGCGTGGTCAGCGTTACGGCAGTTGTCGGTTGGATCTCCTCTGGTTGTGAGTGATTCAGTCGAATGGAAATCGGCTGTGTCCGAGCATGTTGCCGGTGGCCGGAACACCGTCTGCGACGAATGTGTGGAACAGACCGGAGTGCTCACCTCGGTTGATGCTCTTGAGTGTGCTTCGGTTGTTCTCTGTGACCACGCACCGCAGCATGTAGTACATATTCTGCAGTCCTGTTTCGCCGCCGCGGGTCCCGAGGTCGGCAAGAAAAGCGATCCCGCGTTTCGACAGCTTTTCACACTCGGGAACTTCGTTCTTGACCGCCAGCAGGAACTGCTCCAGATCCTGCGGCGACTGCGAGCTGTTGTGCCGGAAGGTATTCCAGAGCGATTGCAGTGTCTTCATGGAACTCGGTAGTGTGGAGACGACGAAACCGCCGATGGCCACCACTGCGATGATGGCGCCGATGATGATGAGAGCTGTGGTCATTGCGGTGTCCTTTCAGCTGTGGGCTGGTTGTCGGATGGCTGATTCTTAGAGTGGATGGACTTCTCCGCACGATGGACAGTTTTTGCAGAGCGGCGCCATGGATTCTCCGCAGGCGACGCAATGGCGGCGGGCGTCCATGGATTCTGAAGCCGCACCCTGAGCCAGGGCCAGCATCATGAGTGATTCGAACATCATGGAGCATAGATCTGAGCAGACAGAGTAGGCTTTGCCGTCCCACGGTTTTGCCCCTTCGGAACCGCATGCCTGGCAGTAGCGAACCTTGCCAGATCGGCTGCCGGAAATGCTCGAAGACTGATGCGAAGCGGGTGTTTTGAGGCGATAGGTGTCGCCGCCGTCGTCCGGCTGGTAGCGCATGTCTTCCAGTTCCGCCGGGTCGTTCGGAACTTCAAATCCGCTCCGGCAGCTCTGACAGACGACGCGGCTGCCGAGCGCGCTGTGGGGCACCGTGACCGCTTCTTCACAGAAGGGACATTCCAGCTCATACTCCTCGTCGCTGTTTGCTGATGTCGCCTCCGACGGTTGTGGTTCCGAGGATGGTGGATCCGGCGGTGGTATGCTGTCCGGTGTGGCTTGCGGCGGAGGGGCGCTGGCGGCTGCCAGGCGTTCTCTGGCCAGACTGGCCATCCGCTGCAGCAGTCGGATGCGATCATCAGTGTCGGGCAGGCTGGCAGCCATCGAATCCAGCAGTGACAGGGATGTGTCGAGATCCTCCTCGGATTCGTGGGACGCGATGCCTCTGGCGATCAGTCCTCCTGGATTGCTGGCGACGCTGGGGTCGGGCCACTTTCGGTCGAATTCCTGATGCAGAGCTTCGAGTTCACTGGTGATGACCTCGACAGTTCGTCCAGGGACTTTGGTGGTGGTTTTGGGTGAAGCGGCCGGAGCGTCGGTGTTGATCACAATGGCGGCTTCACACGTTTTGCATCGAACGCGCTTTCCGGTGAGTGACGCTTTGACGCGATAGGTCGCGAAGCATTCCGGGCATTCGACGGAAATGAGTGGACGCTTCTGCGTCGTGCGCTGTCGGCGACGAGCGGCTGCGGCTTTGATCTGTTCTGCGTCAGGAATGCGGAGCACGTTGTCGCATGACGTGCATCGAACATGCTGGCCGGCCCGAGTCACGCTGACCTTCATGACAGTTCGACATTTTCCGCAGCGAATGCGTGTTTTGGGAGCTTCCTGGTCGGACGTGCCGACCGTCGTCTTTGCTTCCCGGGCGGACGTTTTGGAGGCTGACTTCGTGTTGCTGCCGGCGGGCCGTTTGTCAGCCTGGTTCGTGCTGCCGGATCCCTTCTTTTTCGGTTTCTGTCTGGCCGGATTCTCTTTAGGCGACCTGGTGTCGACCGGTTTCTGTGGTGTTGGAATTTTTGATGTCGGCATTACTAACGTCGACTTTTGTGGTGCCGGTTTCGGATCATCGCTGCCTGGCGGGGCCAGGGGAGTGGCGCGAATGGGGACCTGAGACGTTTTCCACCAGTGGGCGGCATCAGCTGCGGCGACTTCCAGATCCAGCCCGCGGCGCCGGGCCGCTCGTTCACACATCAGAATCGGGATGCTGGGCGTACGGTTGATGACAGAGAATCCACCCCCGCCGAACAGACCATCCAGGCCCGACTGCTGTGCCATGTCTCTGGCTCGCAGTTCCGCGATCGTGGGGCATTCGGCTCGAACTGTTGCCGTTTCTTCTGACACATAGATATAGCCGCCACCTTCCGGAATGATGTCCTCCGGACTGGTACAGGGACAGCTGTTGTCGGAACAGCGGGCAGTCCCCGATGGTTTGGGCGCTTCCATGTATTTCGAGGGCGACCTGGTTGTGGCGTCGGTCGTAACTGTTTTCGCGGGTGCTGCTGCATCCGGCGTCTCTTTGTCGGCTGCGATCAGCCCGAAATGTTCACAGGACGTGCACTTCACCATGTCCTGCGACAGAGGCGTCAGGCCGGTTGATCCACAGTTTGGGCAGGGCGCTTCGGTCGACGGAATCCTGTGCGCATACTCTCTCGCCCAGTCGGCCGGATTTCTGGTGCCATAGCAGTCGAAACAGATCGGATGACTGTTGACGTTGAGAAACTCAGTGACTGCGCTGTCGCAGATTTCACATTGCCAGCTCATCGAAATCGACCCTCAAATATGTATCAGGCATGAACAAGTGGCATCGAATTCTTCATCACGAGGTCTCGACTGTTTCCTCATTCGAACTGAATGGCCCAGGCCGGACCGTTCCAGGAGTCGGGGACACCGGCGACCTGCTTTGATGCGGAAGTGAGCTCATGTGCGGTCGCCCGTTCTCCCATGGCGGCCGCGGCTGCCAGGAGCATTTCGTATTCCATGGAACCACGCATCAGCATCAGAGCCATGGGAGCGGCCGTCATGATTGCCGCCTTTTCAGCCGCAAATCCGGTGGATCTGACCATCCGTTCGACCAGGGCCTCGCGAACAATCACAAGGCCTCGATGACGGCTGTCGAGGGCTGCGATGCAGTCATCGTTCCTGCTGGGCGTGCTGTCAAATCTGAGTTGAACAGACGGCGGTGCGGAGCCGGCAGGTGGCAGCGGTGGCGGGACTGCAGGCTGCTGGTTGTGTGCTGCCGGACTGCCTGCAACCGGACCGCGTGTTTCCGGACTGCCTGCCAGGGATTGTCCACAGCCGCGACAGCGGATCTTCCTGCGCGCCAGTCGTTTAGGGACCCGCTGGACGGTCGAACAATGCTGACAGCAGATCTCAGTGACTGACTGCTTCGACCTGGGTTTGGTTCTGGTTCGGGTTTTGGATTTGGTTTCTGATTTGTCCGGGGCGTGTGTGATTGCCCGGCAGGAGTTGCAGCGAATCTTTTTACCGGCCAGTTCCGGTTTCACTCGCATCCGGTGACCGCAGTGATTGCAGGCAAAGCCAATGCGAGTGTCCTGTCCGCCTGCGCCGCTGTGTGCCTGGGGCAGGGGAGGCGGCTGTGAGCCGGAAGAAACGGCAGCGGATCCCGGTGCCCATGCTGATTCGCCCGGCAGAGTGCCTCCCGGTGAGTTTGCCTGGTACTGGCGAAACTGTTTCAGAAACTCGGTCACGCCTGCGGAACGCATTTCAGAAACAAACTCCTGCATCGCGATCGGGAATTCTGCGGACAGAATATGACTGTGGGCCGGGCTGGGGACGCTGAGTGTGAATACGATCCCGCAGTCTTCTCTGGTGAGTGTGACTTCCTTGTTGAGGATCTGAAAATCGGGATGACGCGGCATCACGCGCTGGGCGAGGGCATTCATGAGGCCGGTGGCGCACATCAGCAGGAACTCGTCGCGATCTCCGTCCGGGCGGAGGTCTTCATCGGCCTGCCACATTCCGACATACGTGGAGCCCGGGGAGGCGGAAGTGGCCGGCGTCAGGTCCGGCAGCACGTTTGCTTCCTGTTGAGCCAGTTTTTTTGTGAAGCGACCCAGCTTACGGGCAACGTCTGATGGAAACTTGCCGGAATCAGGCACTGTCCAGCCGCCGGTGGCGCCGGTCAGCCATTCGAAATCTGACTGATAGTCGGGGATGCGTTCGACGCAGGGGGCCGCCTCGTCGATGACCTCCCGCGGCAGGACGCCTGCTGCGGAAGCATTCTGAAACTCATTTCTGCATTCGTCGAATCTCGCCTGGCCACGCAGCAAATGGCACAGCCACACGAGTGCGTTGCCCTGTTTTTCCATGGTCATGGCCAGACGCATGCACTGTTCGGCCACGGTCAGGCTTTGCCGGATTGCTTCCAGATCTTTCGTGCCGGCACCCGTCCGCACCTGGTCACCCAGAATGCCGCCTGGAACCCGGTCGGGGTTGGTCGCGAAGGCGATAAACAACTCTTGCGGGCGACCGCACTTGCAGCCGGCAATCGCTGTCAGTCCGGCGAGCTTGAAGTACTCTGTGACTTCCAGCCAGATAGCGGTGCCACAGTTCAGCAGGTTCTGACCGTCTGTGCGGTCCATGTTCCATGCATCCAGGAACGCGGCCGCGGCCTCCGTGAACTGACTGCTTTGCAGCAGCTGTCCGCCTCGCTGTTCGGTCTGCTCCTTTTTGGCAGACGTCCTGTTCCTGCTGGCACCAAACATAGAAATCTCTCTGGACAATCAGGCTCGTTTCATTGGAACATTTGTCATGAATTCAACAGAGAATGTTTGTGGCTCTCCGTCAGTTGTTCGAGTCGTCAGTATTTGAAAGTGACTGCAATGAGGTCAGCGGGCCGGGTTCTCCCTGACAGATAAACGCGCCCCAGATAAACGGATCGGGACATTGTTTTTTCAGTTTCAGCTGTGCATTGCGCAGGGCGTCGGTCCGTGACATGCCAGCCAGCAGGTTGCTGTAGTAATCCTGCATGAGTTGCTGCGTGTGTTCATCAGATGCCTTCCACAGGCTCATGACCAGGGTGCGGGCACCGGCGGCTGCGAAGGCTCGACGCAGTCCGAAAACTCCTTCGCCATTTCGGATTTCGCCGAGACCGGTATCGCACGCGGACAGCACGACCAGCTCCGTCGTCGACAGGTCCATGCCGGCGACATCTTCGGCTGTCAGAATTCCGTCTTCTGCTTCTTCGGACAGCTGCCCGCCTCGCAGCCACGTGTTGGCTCCTGCCAGCACCAGTCCGGAACGAAGCAGCGGATTCCTGAGTTCCGCCGTCGACAGGCGGGCCGACCGTTCACGCACATTGCTGTGCCGTGGTTCCGGCGACGGATCCACCACATCGTTCAGAAAGAATCCGTGCGTTGCCAGATGCAGAATGCCGGGTGAGTGGGCGTGCTTGAGTGGTCGTTCGAGTGCCTGCGGTCCCATCAGAGTGTCTGCGTTCAACATCGAGCCAATGGTGGTGCCTTCGAGACGCGTTCCTGGCAGACGCGGGAAACTGAATTCGCTGAGGCCGCCTTCGGATCTGAGTTCCTGTGAGCGCGGATCCTGGTCGGCAGGCGTGTTGACCTGATCGGTGGACAGGTCAAAATCCGGATCGGCCACCACCAGCGTGGTCCCGAACTGCTGTGAGGATTCGGTGTTGAAGCGGAGGAGATCACGACCGCAGCTGAGATAGCTGATGCGGTACTGATCGATGAGAACTTCATCGTTTGAGACAGGCAGTGTTTCGAATGGCAGCCGAGCCAGGTTTCCGTCCGGTGCGATCAGGATCTGTCGGCAGTCGCCCAGTGCCTCCACGACCGGATCAAACAACCGTGACTTCAGCAGTTTCCCGGAACGGTCGGCATCGACAGGCTCAGTTGCCTTCGTGCGCCGCTGCATATCCCGGTTGTTGTCGGTACGCCACTGACTGCCGACGCCCTCGCGAAAGTCGTGAATCATCGGATCGATTTCCGTGGCACGACCCAGATCAATCAGTTGCACGGTGTCAGCATTGTCGGCGGTAAGGACAAAGGCGACGTAGTGAGGCGGTTCTCCGGATGAGTCGCTCTGATCAGAACCGTCATGAAAGTTGAACGGCTGGAAGCGAACGAATTCGATCAGGGCGCCGCCGGATGGCAGATGAATTGCCACGGCACGGCGGTCGGCTGCCCGCAGCTGCTGCTGCAGAGTGACTTCAGGAATCTGACGGGCCAGTTCTGATTCCATGCGGTTCCGCTGAGCTTCCAGCTGCTGCAGTTGATGACGATACTCGTCCGCCGGTGTCCCTCCGGGGCCGGCCAGCGTGGTCATGGCGATTTCAGCCCGCAGGGTACTCAGTGACTGCAGGCGTTCGGTCAAATGCGGGTAGCGGCCCTGCAGAATCGAGTCACGCTGCTGTGCCGCGGCTTCCAGCACAATGGCTTTGCGCCGCAGGACCAGTTCAAAGGCGGCCGTCACGTGGGCCTGAGACTCAGGAAAGTGCTCCAGCACAAGCGACAGAAACAGCTCCGTTTCGATGTGGATTTCACGCGCGCAGTGCAGCCGCTCACCCTCGGAACTCATGGAAAAAACGTTACTGGTGAAACTGTCGTAGATCCGGTTGGCTTCCTGCAGCAGTTCAAAGGCCTCGTCCGGCCGTCCCAGGGCAGTGCAGACCATGGCGCAATTCGACAGATCAATGGCGTAGTAAAAGTGAGACGAGCCGTAGATCGCGCGGTCACGCTCGATGGCCTGCCGGATGAAGTTCTCAGCTTCGTCGTATAAACCACGTCTGCGCTGCAGCACCGCCAGGTTGTTGTAAACACCACCGTCCTGAGCGGGTGTCCCGAAACTGGTGAGTTCCATCACCAGACAATTCTTAAAGCATGTCAGTGCATCGTCATACCTCCCCGAGTGAGAATACATCAGCCCGAGGTTGTTCCAGTTGGCAATCAGATCCGGATGGGCGGCGTTCTGGTGCTGTTGTCGAATCTGGATCGCTCGCAGATACAGTGGCTCAGCCTTCTCGAAGTCACCGACTTCACGGAAGAGTTCTCCCAGATTGTTGAGTACGGAAGCGACGTCGCGCGGTTCTTTGCTTTCGTCCAGCACGTCGAGGGCTTCAAGATACAGCGGAGCTGCGGCCGCCTGATCGCCAATCAAACAGTGCAGCAGGCCCAGCTGGTTGAGCGTGTTTGAGTAGACGGGATCGCTGGTCAGAGCTGACTCAATACATAGCGCGCGTGCTCGTTCAAGCAGCTCGCGTGCCTGGGCGTAGTCTCCCTGCTGCTGAATGCTGCCGGCGAGCTGTGTGAGCGACCTGATGACGTCCGGATGACGGTCGCCCAGGACAGCCTGCCGAATGGTCAGGACTTTGCGCTGCAGTTCTGCGGCGGCAGCGTAGCTGCCCATTCGGCTTTTGTTGATTGCCAGGTGCTGCAGGACGGTTGCGTATTCGGGGTGATCGCTGCCGGACAGTTGCTGCTGAAGCGCCAGTGCTTCCTCCAGCGCGGCTGTGGCTTTTGTCTGTTGCGCGGAGGCATCCAGACAGTCGGCCAGCTGACACAGCCAGGTGACCACGGTGGCGTCATCCGGATTTCCGTTTCGGCGTCGAATCCGCAGGCACTCGCGCCATGCGGAGACTGCTTCGTCGAGTTGCCCCGTTTTCCGGCAGATGCCCGCCAGATTCTGCAGGGGGATCAGGAGTTCCGGGTTGTGTTCGCCGCCGGTTTGACGCTGGATAGAAATGACTTCCTGCATCAGCGTGCGGGCCCGTTCGCCGTCACCAGCGGTGAAAAAGGCGGCCGCCAGATTGTTGGCGACGGCCTGGTACGTGGTGTCTTCCTGAGGCAGTTGCTGTCGGGCAAGCGCATGCATGTGCAGGGCGAGTCCCAGTGCGCGCTGCTGATCGTCGTTCGCGGAGCATTCCGACAGCAGTTCGGACAGTCGCAGGATCTGTGGTTCGGCTTCCGGGCGCTGCATGAGCTGCGTGCTGGCTGTGCGGCACTTTGGGCAGACAAACTGACGCAGTCGTCGGCCGTCTCCAGCGGGGACTCGCAGCAGCTGCAGGCAGCTGTCGCAGATCAGGTGCACCGCGACTTTCGCCTCATCCGGCGGTTCGGTCTGTGCATAGACGGACAGAACGGCACGAGTGGCAAGTGATTCAAACAGATTGCGTTTGGCTCGGTCAAAGCCGGGGTACATCTTGATCGCCTGCCGCAGCCAGCGAATTCCCTGTCGGATCAGGGGTTCACTGCGTTCATTCCAGGCCTGCATGGAACAGGCATTGCCCAGATCAAGCAGCAGAATCGGATCCGACGGCCAGATCTCAAAGGCCTCCTGAAACTTCTGAATCGCTCCCCGGTAATCTTCAACCCGGAAGCGTGATTCGCCTTCGCTGGTCAGCTGTTCGGCGCGACTGATGCGGGGCAGATCGTTGATGGCAACCAGAGCCGTCAGGTCGCTGAGGCAGCCTGGGCAGTTGTGTCCGTTATTCGGAGAAGCGCTTCCGTCCGACGGACGAATCGCTCCGCACTGATAGCATTTGAGCTGGTCAGTCACCCTCATCTGTCCCCGCGCCGGACCTCAGGCGATTCCCTTCAGTGCGATTTCACGGCGCCTGTCCCGATCCGCATATGGTGTTGGCTCGGGAATACAAAGTGGAACTTCCTAATCAGCAGACAGTGTCTGCCACCAGGAAACAACGGAGAGCATCACAGAAGGTTACAGAATAAATCGCAGGGAACGACATTGAGGGTCGAAACAGGGTGAAGTCCCTCCCCCCAAGGCCAGGCTGGTATTCAGATCGCTGCCAGGCTCTGTCTCGCAATTGGATTAGCAGCCTCTGCAGGCCGGATCGAGGAGCGAAGCGACGCAGCTCCGGCAGCCGCGGTTGCCGGAACGCGCTACGCTTGGTTCCGCCACGGCGGATCTGCGACCGGCCTGCCACCTGACAGAACTCTCAAGGACTATTGCGAGACAGAGCCTAGTTGCCTGCTGCTTTGTACGCCCGGTAGTCATTCAGGAATGACGGCACTCCCTGAGAACGCAGGGTGTTGATGAAATCATCGGATGCTTTGGCCATCTCAGTGGCAACCAGCTGCACATCAGTGGATCGGTCGAACGTCAGGTCGAAAGTGATGCTGAAGTCATTGCACCCGCAGGTAACCTGCCTCTCCAGGGGAGTGAAATCGTGTCCCAGGTCAGAGATCTGGTGTCCGAGTGCGTTCATAATGGCGGTTGCGCACATGGCGAGGAATTCCTCGATGTCGCCGCCGTTCGGCCGCAGATCCACAGGGACTTCCCACATGGTGATCAGGTGAGTCGTCTGAGGGCCGGAGTCGTCGCTTGCCGGGCCCGGCGACGAGACCGGCACGGTTTCGGAATTCGCCACCGGTTGTGCAGGCGGTTCTGCCTCATCGGATTCGGCCTGAGTCTCATCGGCAGCGAGATGCTCATCGACTGGATCTTCATCCGCCGGGTCATCGTTTGCCGACGAGTCGTCGTCCGGTTCCTCAAAGATCAGATCAGCATCGTCGATGGATACGATCTCATCCTCATCAAACTCCTCAGCGTCGCCCGCCGCCGTGTCGTCTTCGAAGACATCACTGTCGAGCGTCTCATCGTCATCCGGGTCATCGAACGCCAGGACTTCGAGTAAATCGGCGTCCGGATCATCTTCCTCATCATTATCGACCAGTTCAGCCTGGACGGCTGTTTCGCTGGTGTCGACGGAAGTCACTGATTCCGGCTCGGGTAGATCCTGCAGGAGAATGGTGTCATCCGACTCCTCGGCTGCTTCCGGTTCGACGGGCGCTGCGGGGGTGTCGGTCAGCGGAATCGCTGCTCGCTGCGGCGTCGGTTCAGCAGTTTTCTTCGGAGGAGATTCTGCGAACTGCGGCTTCGGCGGTCTCTTTCCAGCATGTTTGCCGGCGCCCTCTCGCACGCTTTCGAAGTAGGCATTCATCACCGAACGGCGGCCCACACGTACGATCAGAGTGTCGTGGTGCAGGCGGAAGGCTCGCACGTCCGGATATGCCGTTTTGCCAAGGTGTTCAGTACATCGGCGGTAGCGGACGCGTCCTGGCAGCTCAACACAGGCGTTGCGTGCAAACATGCAGGCTGCCAGCGGCGCGATGAATACGATCAGCCAGGGGAATCCGGCGCCGAATGCAATCAGACTCAGCACAAAAGCGATCACGGGAAGGAAAATGGCCGGACGAATGTCCAGGACGCTGGATTCTTCGTCGATCCAGTTGCGGTCCGTGCTGTCGCCGCAGACTACGCAGCAGTCAGGCAGCTGCAGCGACCAGTTCTGGTGGTTCCATTCGAACTGGGCAGACTCATGTTCTCGCCGCAGCTTGATTTCGGCTCGACTGATACTGCTGCCAATCAGGTCTCGAAAGTAATCACTAAACAGTTCGCCGTTGGTCGAATAGAACTGCCAGGTGAGCCGGAATTCCGATCCAAGCTGACCGAAGGCGCGTCCTGCGGAGGACAGGCTGCGTCGGACGGCAGCCAGACCGCGTCCGGCCATCGATCGCAGGTGTGCCCCAAGGTCGTTCAGGCTCAACGGCGGCACGCTGTGACCTGCCTGCTCGTTTGACTGCGGCTTCGCGTCTTCCGTCGGTTCGGCGTCTTTCGGGGACGTCTCGGCCGACTGCTGAAGACTCGGTTCCTGCTCTTTGTTTTCCGTCGATGCCCTGTTTTTAACTCGTTCCTGTTTCTGCGGACTGAGCTTCGAGGGCTGCTGACGTCGTCTGAGGTCGAGCCGTCGTGATGATCGGGGTTTCTTAGTCGGAGGTTGTGGCTGTGGCTGTAGCTCTGGCCGTGACGGTGAAGGTGGGGGTGGTGTCTGCTCATCGGCTGCCGAAGAACCAGACGATCTGGCGGACGTATCTGGATTGATTTTGGTGATGCGAAAACTGGCGTTGCAGCGGGGGCAGCGTCCTTTGCGACCGATATCGCGGTCGTCAAAGCCGACGCGTTTTTTGCATTTTGGGCATCGGGCGATGCTTTTGGCCATGGTGACCCCAGAATCAGTATCGGGCTGTCGCCGCCGTGATGCGCCAACCGCCCGTCACATCATAATTCCCTTTGTAGTCTCTCACCTTAACAAATGTTGATCGGCCGTCAGCTCTGTGACAAATGAGGTGCTGCTGCAGATTGTTTGATGGCGTCAGCTGCCGGCTGCATGGACGATCTCCAGTACGGACACATTTGACTGTTCGACGGCCGAACTGCTGGCCGCCTTTTTGACACGGACCATGTTGCGTGTTGACAGATAGGGCTTTGAGACATTGCCTGGTGTGTCAGCGGCCAGAGCCAGCAGTGTGTCTCGATCAAGCAGCTGACTGTTCGCTGCCAGCACGGCAAACAGTCGCTCGTTTCCGGCAGGTGGTGTCATGACAATGGAGTCGATTTCGATGGCCTGACTGGCGGACACGAAAGAATCTTCCACAGCTGCGCCGGCAGCATCCATCGTCTCAGGGAACAGCAGATTCAGCGCGCCGCCGGGCCCGATGTTGAAGACGGTGAGGTATCCGGACACGGACGCAGCCACCTGGATTTTGATTTCATCACCGGTTGTGACGTGAACGGAATCAGGCCGTCGCGGCTTCTTCGTCATGTTTCTGAACTCGACTGCCGGCTCTGGTTCCTGATGTGTCGCGGCCACTTCCCGGAAGCTTCCGTCCTGTTCCAGGCGGCTCACAGTAATGCGCAGTTTTCCCGCATCACCTGCAGCGGTCTCTGGCATGTCGTCCAGCAGTGTGTCAGCCAGCAGGCGGTTCAGCGTGCCGCGGAGGTCCTGGACGAATTGATTCAGTGGCGGCCGCTGATCCGGATCCGCACTCAGGGTGGCGCGGATAATGGCTTCGATCTGTCTGGGAATGCCTGACTGCCGGAACAGCGAGCCAGGGAGCTGCGGAGCATCCTGCAGCACCATCGCGGCGGGAGTGCCCGCGGGGAAGGGAGCGGAACCGGTTGTCAGATGGAGCAGGGTTGCTCCCAGACCATAGACATCGGAGGCGGCTGACGTCTGCCCGTGATACGCTTCCGGGGCCATGTAGGCGGGTGTTCCGGCAATCGCGCCTGGTCCGGTCACTCGATTCGCGATCCCAAAATCGCTGAGCAGAACTTCGTCTCGGTCGGAGTCCCACAGGATATTGGCCGGCTTGATGTCTCGATGGACTACGCCGCGCTCATGCACCTGCATCAGGCCTTCGGCTACGTCGGCGATGTAGCGGGCGGCGACGTGCCAGGCGAGCGGCCCTTCGGTTTTGATGCGGTGGTCCAGTGAGCCGCCGGCGACGTACTGCATGAACATATAAGCGTCGTCGCCGTGATCACGCCAGGCGAAGATGCGCACGATATTGGGATGTTCAATCGACGAGATGACCTGTGCTTCTCGATTGAGTGTGGCGAATGACCCCGGGAGTGTGTGGCCAGGGTCGTTCAGATGCAGTGTCTTGACGGCGACCGCTCTGTTCAGTTTGAGATCCTGAGCCAGCCACACATAGCCAAAGGCTCCGCGACCGATGAGGCGAGTGAATTCGAATTCACCGGGAAACGGACGGGGGACGGTGCTGATGCCGGAAAGTTCGCTGTGATCATGGATCGTCCTGGCACACTGGATCAGCAGCTGCATGATGCGGTCATGTGTGCGTCGGCGCTTTCGGAGTTCACCGTCGTCGGCGTCGGCACGGATCTCGGCTTTGTCGGGGACGAGGGCACTCAGGCCGCTGCGTCGGTCGATGTCGTCCGCGAGGATTTCATCGGCCGGCGTCGCCGGCTGTTCGCCCCAGGAATTCAGATCGTCATCGGTGCTCACTGTTCGTCTCCGATGATCGCCCGGATGTCGTCATCCTGACCCAGCCGCTCGATCGCGCGCGAGCAGACGACTCGCAGGGCTCCCACACTCTTGCCGGTCTGTTTGCTGATTTGCCCATAAGACAGCTGATCAAAAAACCTCCACTGCAGCACGTCGCGTTGATGTTCCGGCAGACGCTGCAGGGCGCTGGCCAGACGGACCGACTGGTCCATCAGGATGGAGCCCTGCAGCGGAGAGTGCCCGGTTGCCAGCAGAGGAATCAGATCGGCTCCGTCGACTTCTCGGTTCTGATCGCGTTTGCGTGCCTGGCCATGCCGCCGCTGGTCCTCAATCACATTTCGCAGGATGCGGGCGATCCACCCCAGAAACAACGGAACGCTGAGTACACCGGACTCCGTATCGCCATTGAACGTGGCTTCGGCAAGACCATGATGAATCCTCATCAGAGTCTCCTGAACAATATCCGACTCACCGAACCGATGGCGTTCGTCATCGGCCAGACGGCGATGCACCAGCAGCTTTAACCAGGGCCGCAGCTCGTGCAGCAGTTCATCGACGGCCTGCCTGTCGCCGGTCACAGCCGGTTCCAGGAAGGTTGCCAGGGTTCGTGAATCTTCGTGGGGTGTGTTGCTCACAGTTGTCTTACTATAGAAACTCCAGTCAGAGAAAAACGTTACACAATGATTGCGAAGTTTCTTCTCAGGCGACAGCGAGCGCTGTGCGAAAGGTTGTGATG